ATATTTAGAGCCAGATTCAAAGATAATATATCATGTGATTCAATTCACATAAAATTTTCACAACAGGCAAATTCATAGAAACAGAAAGCAAATTAGTGGTTGTACAGTGTTGGGGAGGCTGATAGCCAAAGAGTTTCTTTTAGAAGTAATGAAAATGTTCTAAAATTGGTAGCAGTGATAATTACATAACTCTAAATATATTAAAAACCACTAGAAAGTGGAGAATTGCATGCTATGTAAATTATATCTCAATAAAGCTATTACAAAAAAAGGACCACCATTAGAAAAAAAAATTACCGTGCAATGTTTTTCATAGTTTTTCTTAAGCTTGTTGTTGTGAAGTGCAGTTGAGTCAGTTCTGACTCATAGCAACCCTGTATAGGGTTTTTGAGGAGCAGCTGGTGAACTTGAGCCACCGACCTTGCAGTCTGTTGCATTAACCCAGCGCCACACCAGGACTCAAGCTTATGGATGTTAATGACTAATAAGCTTGATGGCAAAAAAACAACTGTCTGAAGATTAGCAATTCATCAATTTTATTACAATGTTTTATTTTTAAAAACTCAAGTAAAGTCCAACCGATTGCTTTTAATTTTATATAGTATGTTCCAATATAGTAACATGTTTTTCAGTCTGTTTAACCATCCATCCCTCTTATAATGGATGCAAGAAGATATCAGAGATGATTTCCACATATTGTAAATAAAAAAAAATCAGGGTTTGTGTGATCTGTTGCTTTCTTCTTGTGCTATTTCCTATACTGGTTACATTTTAATGAGTATGTACTATTTTATTATTCTTCAAATTGTTTTTATGAAGGACAAAGTAAATATGCCAAAATAGTAACAATTTCCTGTGAGTAGTAGGATTTAAATGTGATTCTTTTCTCTCCTTTTTTACTTTTACGTGCTTTTCAAATTTTCCTATAATGAACATCTATTATTTTATAAATGTTTTTGTTTTTAAGTGCCATTGAACAGGTTCTGACTCATAGCAACTCTGTATAAACCTTTGCGGGAGCAGAAAGCTTCATCTTTACCCCGCGGAGCAGCTGGTGGCCTCAAACCACCAAACCTGTGGTTAGGCAGTCCAGTGCTTATCCTACAGAGCCACCACAATCCCTATTTTATAAATAGAAAAAAAGTAAAATAATTAAAAGGATATACAGCATTTCTTTACATGATTACTTGGTTCTTACCTGTACTCCTTCTGTTGTTCCTGAACGCTCTTTCTTCCTGGCCAGACATCGCCAATCTGTGACTGATGAAGTAGGGACTGTCCTACTGTCTCTCTGGTATTCACTTTAGACAAACAAAAACACGGCAGGGGAAGTGATGGGTAAAAAGGGAAAAATATCAATATAATATCCCTTGAAATATACTATACTTGCAGAATGGATTGCAAAACAATCTTTTTTATTCTCCTTCAAAACAAACTGAGGGAGCCATCAAAGCAAGCAATCAAGCTCCTTCAGGACAAACCTCCCTCCAAGACTGAAACTTAAAGGGAACACACAAGCAGGCATGTAAGCTTGCTGGCAATCACGTTGGTCTATATGTGAGCAGAAGTGGGGGAAAAGCAGCAATGAAGATATGGGCTGAGTTTGGCTACGTTCTATAGACTACTGTCGACCTTGAAATGAGAGGGAGAAGAGGAAGGGCTGGTTGGTCTCAAGTTTGGGGAGACTTGGGAACTCCTGAGCCCGTGGACATTGACCAAGTCACGGAAGGCTAGAGCTGAGAATGAAGTGTCCAGCTGATATGAAGGTGGGGAAAATTCACACGAACTCCAAAATTTGCAGATAGTATCCATTTGACCTAGCTTCATTGGCTGGATGATCAGAACTCAACTAGAGGAAGATAAATTTGATACAGGAAGCAAGTGTAAATGAACTTGCTACAATTTGATGAATTTGACCTTTACTTATGCATGTAGTAGCTCAAAATACCAACTTAGACAGAAGGAGTGTTCACATCAAGGATCAAACCTATCCCCTCTGTACACAGGGTTGACAGGGACAGGGAACATAGACACTGGCTACGTAAAGTGGGGGGAGGGGCTATAAAGGCATGAAGTGGCTGGCTTACAAGTTTTCAAGAGGGAGTTTAATTTCAGCATGTACAGGGGAAGGTAGACTCCCCACTGAATAGTTTTCATCTTGTTTAGATGTGTCTGGTGAAAGGAGATGGTAATAGAATTAATTTTAGTCAACAGTGAATAATTGTTATCATGACTAATTGTGATTGTCACAACTGTAAAGGTAGAAGTTTTATAACAAAAAGTTGTTGTTGTTAAGTACCATGGAGTCGGTTCTGACTCATAGTGACCCTGCATAGGGTTTCTGAGGCTGTAAATCTTTACGGGAGCAGAAAGCCTCATCTTTCTCCCACAGAACAGCTAGTAGTTTTGAACTGCCGACCTTGACGTTAACATCCCAATTCGTAACCACTATGCTACCAGAGCTCATTATAACAAAAAGGGGGAATAGATAATCTTACATTCCAGGAATAGAGACCATCAAGAGTGAAGAGCATGAGCAGAACGTGGAACCCTAACCAAAGAAGCAGCTACACCAGAGATGGAAACGGAGAGATTTACGAGCTGAGGACTAAACTCATGGAAAGAGAAAGGCTGTGTGCTGGTGGCCAGGAGGCTGGCTTGCAGAATGCGTCCTTTGGTTGTTTAAATTACTATACGTTCCTGCGTGTTTCTGTGTACATCAAAACAAAAACAAAGGGAATAGAAGCAAATACTGTTAAATGATGATGCATGGAGGGGATTGCAATCATTGCAATGAAACAAAATACTATAGGTTGAATGCAAAACTTATGTTCTCCCATGTAAACTATCACTCAATTCACAATGAAAGCTTTATAAAAATAAATAAATAAATAAAACTGAACCCATGGAGTGAGAACACACTAATATTCCACACCAGAGGATCTCTCATTGAAGTTAAGCACCTCAGAGAAACATCTTTAAAATATGCTCATTACCTGCAGGTTTGCGACGCAAGGACATCCTGATTATTTCACTGCCAGTGCGGTAATCAAAGCGATTCACTTTCTGGTCATAAAACCAGTCTCCAGTTGCTTTCTTCAGCTCTCTGGAAAAGAATGAAAAAAAAAAAAAAAGGACAGATAAAGAATGGCTTTTATTCCTCAACCAACATAGACCAGGGGAAGAAATTGTCACTATGGTTGGGTACTCATTTCCTCTCTTTGCAAACCCACACATGACACTCACATTTCCTTGGCACAGACTTTGCACCTCCAGGTACCATTGCTTTCCTGGACACAGCAGTCTCGACACACTAGGTGATTACACCCCCGACAAGTGTTGGTCTTGGGAGTCAAACGGCCCAGGCTCTCCTGGCATCGGGCACAGGTTCGATCACTGTAGTGTTGGCTGCCCCTCTTTGCCCCTTTCCTTTTAATCTCTAGCAACTCATTCTTCAGTCTCCTGCCAGGACCCAAGAGAGAAGCACAACTGGATTCAAAATCCACATAGGTTACATGGAGCGGGGTTGTAGGGTAAATAGAGTAAAACAAATTGGTTCTGTGAAAGCAACAAACACATAACCCAATGTAAACCAGTGAGGAGCTTTTAAGTTCTTCTTAAAGTCAAATGAGAGGTATGAGGAAAATCCCATACATCACTGATGAAGGGTCAAGAACCCACACTTTTTATGGGATTCTTACCTAATCCTTTTCTCATCTGCTTTCCGAAGCTCCTCATCTCGTTGTAGAACATTGAGAATCAAATCTCTTTCCACATCAGATAGAAAAGAGAGGTCAAGTATCTCTGACATGATGTATTCTACTTTTTCGTATACTTTTCTTTCTTCAAAGCAGCCAGATAAAGAAAAGATACAAATAACTAAAATGAAAAATGAAAGAATCATATGAATAAAAGTATGGCAAGACATTGGATAACTAGAAGAAATAAACAAATTTCTAGAAGTGCACAACCTTCCCAAACTGACTCAGGCGGGAAAAAAGTCTCAACAGAGCCATAACAAGTGAAGAGATCATATCAGTGATAAAAAATTTCCCATGAAAAAAATATTCTGAACTAGCTAGATGGCTTCACTGGGGAAAGGCTAACAAACAGTTAGAGAAGAAAGGACACCATTACTGTTTAAACTCTAGTAAGGAGCTCTGCTAGTGTAGTGGTTACAAATTGGGCTGCAAACCTCAAGGTCAGCAGTTCAAAACTACCAGCTGTTCCACGGGAGAAAGATGAAGCTTTCTGCTCCTGTAAAGATTTACAGCCTCAGAAACCCTTTACAGGGTCACTATGAGTTGGAACCAACTCCACGGCACATAATAACAACAACAACAAAAGAAGGAATACTTTGTAATTCATCTTATGAAGCAAATATAACCCTGACACCAAAAACAAACAAAGACACCAAAAACAAAGAAAACTACAGGTCGATATCTCTTATGACTTTAGAAGCAAAAAAAATCCTCAAAAAAATACTAATGAACAGAAAACAACAGCATATGAAAAGAGTTACACACTATGACCAGCAGGATTTATTCCAGGAACACAGGGATGGTACAACATGAAAAAACTAATCAACATAATACACCACATCAATAGAACAAAGGAAGGAACCACATGATTATCTGGATGGAGGCAGAAAAAGTATTTGATAAAATATAACACCCTTTCTTGATGAAAACCCTAAAGAAAATTGGAAAAGAAGGAAAATTCCTCAATATGATTCAGGGCATATATGAAAGACCAACAGCCAATGTTATACTTAATAGAGATAGACTCAAAGCTGTCTCCTTGAAATCAGGGACAAGGGTACCTGTTCTTGCCACTTCTATTCAATATCATATTATAATAAAACAAGAAAAAGAAATAAAGGTATCCAGATTGGAAAAGAAGTAGTATAACTATCTCTATCTGTGGATGAAATGAGCCTATACATTAGGTGTGGGGAACTTTTTATCTGCCAAAATTTATAATATCATTCACAGGCGATGCAAAATTATCAACTTAAAAATTAGCCTGCTATATTTGGTCAAACATTTAGTTAACTCACCCCTAATGTGATGGCTGAAACTGAGATTGTCAAAATAGGACTATACCAAATTATTTTGAGGGCCTTATACAGCCCACAGGCCATACGTGCCCTACCCCTGCTAATAATAATCAATCCATAAGAAAACTAGAGCTAATAAATGATTTAGCAAAGTTGCAGGGTACAAGTTCAACAAACAGAATTCAGTTGGGTTTCTATACATCAACAATGAGAAATATAAAAAGGAAATTAGGGAATCAATAATATTGAAGAGAATAAAATACCTAAGAATAACCAATATTATCAAGAATTTACACAATCAAAACTATTAAAACACTGCTGAAAGAATTTAAAGAAGACTTAAATAAATGGAAACATGTTCCATGTTCATGGATTGGAAGACTTAATGTTGTTAAGATTTCAATACAACCCCCAAAGCAATCCATACATCATCCAATGAAATTCCAATAAAAAATTGAACAGTCTTCTTTACAGAAAGAGAAAAGCCAATACACAACTTTATATGAAAAGGCAAGAAACCATACATAACTAAAACAATGTTGAATGAGAAGAACAAAATATGAGGAATCACGCTTCCTGATTTTAAAACATATGTTGTTTAAGTGCTGTTAAATCAGTTCCAACTCATAGTTCATAGCGACCTTGTATAGGGTTTCCAAGGAGCAGCTGATGAGCTTGAATTGCTTACCTTGCAGTTCAAACGTACTTTGCAGTCCAGTGCACTATCCTGCAGTGCCACACCAGGACTCCATATATATCTATAGTACTCAAAACAGGCAGGTACTGGTATAACAACAGACATGCAGACCAGTGGAATAGAATTAAGAATGTAGAAATAAACCCACACATGCATGGCAAACTGATTTTTGACAAAGGTACTAAGTTCATCCAATGAGGAAAGAAGAATCTCTTAAATAAATGATGCTGAGAAAACTGGATTTCGATATGCAGAAAATTGTAACAGGATCCTTTTCTCAAACCATACACTAAAACAACTTAAAAATGGATTAAAGACCTAAATATGCAAACTGTTGTTTTTGTTAAGTGCCATCAAGCCAATTCCAACTCATAGCTACCCTGTTTCTAGAGGAGTGACCGGTGGGTTTGAATTGCCACCCTTGCAATTAGCAATCCAGTGCTTAGACTACAGTACCATGCCAGGACTCCAAATTTCCAAACTAAAATAATAAAATCCTTAGAAGAACAAGCAGAGAAATGCTACCAGGCCTAGTTTTCAAGTATGGAATATCTAATATAATATTCAAACACAAACAACAAATGACAAAATAAGCCAATGAGACCTATAAAAATATAAAACTTTTGTTCATCAAGACTAACAAAAAACTGAACAGACAAGCTACCAACAAGGAGAAACAATATATCTAGCAAGATTCTAATAACCAAAAAATATATAAAACTTTGGCGATTTAAGAACTAAAAGATGAATAACCGAATTAATAAATGGGAAAAAGACCTGAATAAACATCCCGCCAAAAAGGACCTTCAAATGGTCAACAAACACAAGAAAGATGTTCAGGGTCATTAGTCCTCAGAAAGATGCAAATCAAAACCACAATGGGAGGCCATAGCACTCATTCTAGGATGGCTATGATTTAAAAATTAAAACAGAAAATAATAAATGTTGGTGAGGATGTGGAGAAACTATCCATTGCTGATGTGAATGCAAATTTGTACAGCTGTTATGTAAAACAATGTGCTGGTTCATCTAAAAAAGACTAAAACAGAACTACCATGTTGCTGTTGTTAGGTGCCTATGAATTGGTTGCAAATCACAGTGACCATATGCACAACAGGGCAAAACTCTGCATGGTCCTGAGCCATCCATACAACCGAGCCCATTGCTGCTTCCACAGTGTTAATCCATCCCACTGGAGGTCTTCCTCTTTTTTGCTGACCCTCCACTTTACCAAGCATAATGTCATCCTTCAGGGACTGGTCCCTCTTGATAATATGTCCAAAGTATGAGAAATGAGGTCTCATCATCCTGACTTCTAAAGAGCATTCCAGCTATACTTTTTCCAACACAGACCTGTTTTTCCTTCTGGCAGTCTATGATACCTTCAATATCCTTCTCCAACACCACAATTCAAATGCATCAATTCTTCTACTGTCTTCCTTATTCATTGTCCAACTTTCACATGCATATGAAGTTATTGAAAATACCATTGCTTGGGTCAGGCACACCTTAATCTTCAAACTGACATCTTTGCTCTTAAACTTTAAAGATTTTTTTGTGCAGCAAATTTGCCTAATGTAACACTTTCTCCAAATGGCAGCTTGAGAAGACAAAGTCAAATATACAATGAAATGAGCACAGACCAAAACGGAAGAACACACCCAGCATTTTTCAAGCTGAAAGAACTGAAGAAAACTCCAAGTCTTGACTTGTAAAACTGAAAGAGACTATGGACAAAATAATGAATGATGCAGAAAGCATCAAAAGAAGATGTAAACAATACACAGAGTCACTGTACCAAAAATAAATGGTCAATGTTCAACCATTTCAAGAGGTAACATCTGATCAAGAGCCATCTATGCTAAAGGAAGAAGTCCAAGCACACTGAAGGCATTGGCAAATAACAAGGCTCCAGGAATTGATGAAATACTAATTGAAATCTTTCAACAAACTGGTGCAGCACTTGAGGCACCACTAATCTATGCCAAGAAATCTGGAAGACAGCTACCTAGCCAACTGATTGGATGAGATCCAAGGGAATGTGGAAATCATTGAACATTATCATTAATATCACATGCAAGTAAAATTTTGCTAAAGATAATTTTTAAATGGCTGTAGCAGTACATTGACAGGGAGCTGCCAGAGGTTCAGGCCAGATTCAGTCAGGGACTTGGAATGAGGAATGTAAGATAGATCTTGGCTAAAAGCAGAGACTCTCAGAAAAATGTTCACCTGTGCTTTACTGACTATGCAAAGGCTTTTGATTGTTTGGTTCATGACATCCTGGCTTCCAAGGAGCACTCTGACTACTTCTTTCAACACAGATCTGTTTGTTCTTTTGACAGCCCATGGTACTTTTAATACTCTCCTCCAACACTATAACTCAAATGCACTAATTCTTCTACAGTCTTCCTTATTCACTGTCCAACTTTTGCATACATATGAGGTTACTGAAAATACCATAACTTGGGTCAGGCACACCTTAGTCCTCAAACTGACATCCTTGCTCTTCAATATTTTAAAGAGGTCTTGTGCAGCAGATCTGCCTAATGCAAAATAGGGTCTTCCATATAGGTGTATGGATATTATCTTATCACAGTCAGCATTGTACTGCAAGATATATCTTGGAAATGTTCTTTTTGATGATGAATGTGATGCCATTGTTCTTTAATTTGGCCCAACAATTCCATCCCTAGGTATATACACCACAAACTTAAAAGCAGACTCAAAGAGAGACTTGCATACCAATATCCATTGTACCAGTATGCACAATAGCCAAAAGGTAGAGATAACATAAATGCCTATCAATAGATGAATGGATAAACAAAATGTGGTAGTTCATATAATGAATTTCAACTTAGTCAGTAGGAGAAATGAAATCTTGATGCAAGCTATCTTATGAATGGAGCTTGAAGGCATTATGCTGAGTGAAATCAGTCAATCACAAAATGACAAATATTGTATAACCTGTCTTACAAGAAACAAGAAAAGGCAAAAGTACAGAGTCCAAAGTTATCAATAGTTGCCAGTGGTGGAAAGGAAGGAACAAATCACGCTAAGGGTGAAAAATTTTTTGCATTAATTAAGGATAGCATTGCACAGCCT